AAATCCTGTGCATATATACGTGATTTTGCGCAGCCCTGCCGCCCTGTCGCAGTATTTCTGCCATAGGGCGGCGGGCGAGCGGTTAATTGTCAGTGCATAAGGGCATCATGACTCTGAAATCTGAAATGTCTCCTCTCTCCTCCCTTAGACCCCTCTGGGCAGCTTCTTTCCTCCGAGTTCTCCTCCTGCGAGCTGACGCATCATTTACCCCAGGAGGTGCCGCTGAAGTGGGTGAGCTCCCTGACCGAGGAGGAAGTCAGCCCTCCATCTCTGGGTAAGGCGTGGTACAGCATGGCTGTCAGCGATGACAAAAAAGGGATCACTGTGAGCTCTGTGCTGGGACCAGCAGGGGACAAGAAGGACCATTTCGCAGGTAAGGCCTACGATTTTTTGGGGGGTTTTTTTTGCTGTTTTTGTGCGCAATATCAAGTCATGCCAGCTCATGGAATGTAGAGGAGTCTCTGTGTCACTTCCAAGATAAAAATGTCATAAAATTCAGCATTTATAGGATGGGGCAGGGTGGACAAAGGCACCAAGAGCGCAAATCCTCCCAGGTCATTGGTATTTATCATTGTAGCACAGTATGGCCGGTGTACAAGTATTGATGATGTGACCGGCTCATGTAATTATTAATAACTAAAGGCAACTTTTTTTTTCTGTTTTTGTTTGAGAGGGAAAGGGATTAGAGCCCCTGTCAGGTTTTTATTGCTGACTGTGTCCCCATTAGGGAGATTCACCCTCTCTATTTTTCCTGTTTACCATTACCCCAGAAATGAAATACAAATCCCACATTTTGGGTTGTCACCGGAACAGGAACAGAGGAGAAAATTTTCAATAGGGACACCAGTCCAGGGATTCTCTCACTTTGGCAGGATTTCCTCTCACTTCCTGCATTTGGCTATGGGAAAGGAAGTGAAGTAAAATCTCCCCAGTGGGACACAGAAGGCATAAAAAAAACAAAACGCTCACAGGGGCTATAACCATTGCTATTAGTGCTACTTTAAGCATTTCAGCTTTCATACCTTTGTACCCCCCATGGACCAGAGCAATGCTTAGATTTCTGGTATGGGCCTTTTTAAAGGTAATAATGTTGTCACTTACAGTGTCGTGTATGATGATGATGAATTATTTATTTTATTTATTTTTAGAGTTAGGGGGTAAATTATTATTTTTGAATCTGTTATTACATATTAGTTATTTTATTTATTTATGTATAATTATTTTTATTTATTTATTTAATTCATTTATTTATTTATTTTACTTTATTTTTCACTGGAGCTGAAAAACGTGCAACAAAACTTGCGAAAACTCTTAAAAATTGCGGTTTTCCATTCATTTCTATGGAATTAAAACACTGGAAAGGAAAATGTGCAAATCTGTCCAGGGGCGGACTGACAACTCATGGGGCCCCCGGGCAATAGGGGATCATGGGGCCCCTGTGTCCTTGCCCAAACTCAAAAAAGCCTATGAAGAAGGTACCAGGGGCATCTCATGGGGCCCCCTACTGACCCCGGGCCCTCGGGCAGTGCCCGAGTTTCCAAATGGTCAGTCCACCCCTGAATCTGCTTCCAGAAGTTGTTAGAGCCTAAAGGATAAGTTCACATTTTGCACAAAAATAATAAATTCACTTTATTTGAAGAAAAATATATTTGAAATATATTTTAAAAATACTCTTCCCAAATTTATGGACATATATTTGAAATGCTACAATTTTGGCCATATTCACAATATATTTCTATATATATACAGTTGCAAGAAAAAGTATGTGAACCCCTTGGGATTACGTGGAGTTTTGCATGAATTGGGCATAAAATATGCTCTGAACGTCATCTAAGTCACAACAATAGAAGAACACAGTCTGCTGAACATAATACTACACAAACATTAGATATTGCCATGGTTTAATTGCACATAACATGTAAACATTCACAGTGCAGGGAGGAAAAAAGTATGTGAACCTTTGGACTTCATAATTGGTTGACCCTCCTTTGGCAGCAATAACCTCAACCAAACGTTTCCTGTAGTTGCAGATCAGACCTGCACAACGATCTGGAGTAATTTTGGACCACTCCTCTTCACAAAACTGTTTCAGTGTAGCAATATTCTTGGGATGTCTGGTGTGAATCGCTCTCTTAAGGTCATGCCACAGCATTTCAATCGGGTTGAGGTCAGGACTCTGACTGGGCCACTCCAGAAGGCATATTCTGTGCTGTTGCAGCCATTGTTTTGTTGAATTACTTGTATGCTTTGGGTCATTGTCCTGTTGCATCACCCATCCTCTGCGGAGCTTCAGTTGGCGGACAGATGGTCGTACATTTTCCTGCAAAATGTCTTGATAAACTCTGGAATTCATTTTCCCATCAATGACAACAATCCGTCCAGGCCCTGAGGCAGCAAAGCAGCCCCAAACCATGATGCTCCCTCCGCCATGTTTCACAGTGGGGATGAGGTTTTGATGTTGGTGTGCTGTGCCTTTTTTTTTTCTCCACACATAGTGTTGTGTGTTCTTCCCAAAGAACTCAATCTTGGTTTCATCTGTCCACAGTATATTTTGCCAGTAGTGCTGTGGAACATCCAGGTGCTCTTTTGCAAACTTCAAACGTGCTGCAATCTTCTTTTTGGACAGCAATGACTTCCTCCGTGGTGTCCTCCCATGTACTCCATTCTTGTTTAATGTTTCCTTATTGTAGATGTGTCAAAAAAAATGTTAGCATGTGCCAGAGATTTCTGTAGGTCTTTAGCTGACACTCTGGGATTCTTCTTTACCTCATGCAGCATTCTGCGCTGTGCTCTTGCAGTCATTTTTACAGGACGACCACGCCTAGGGAGAGTAGCAACAGTGCTAAACTTTCTCCATTTGTAGACAGTCTGTCTTACCATGGACACATGAACATCAAGGATTTTGGAGATACTTTTGTAACCCTTTCCAGCTTCATGCAAGTCAACAATTCTTGATCGTAGGTCTTCTGAGAGCTCTTTTCTGCGAGGCATGGTTCACATCAGACAGTGCTGCTTGAAACCAGTAAACCCAAAACAGGTGTGTGTTTTTTTAAGGGCAGGACAGCTGTCAGCAACACATCCAATATCATCACACTGATTGGAGTCAAGGTTGGCTCACTCCTGGCTCCAATTAGCTCTGGGAGAAGTCATTAAGCTAGGGCCTCACATACTTTTTCCTCCCTGCACTGTGAATGTTTACATATTATGTGCAATTAAACCATGGCAACATCTAATGTTTGTGTAGTATTATATTCAGCAGACTGTGTTCTTCTATTGTTGTGACTTAGATGACGTTCAGAGCACATTTTATGCCCAATTCATGCAAAACTCCACGTAATCCCAAGGGGTTCACATACTTTTTCTTGCAACTGTATATATATATATATATATATATATACTGCATGTTGACATGCGTTTTTATTACAAAATATATGAAAAATACTTTTAAAAATACATTTCAAATATACTGTATGTCTTTAAAAATACAAATCTACATTTTTTGGAATGCATTTACACATATATGTAAAAATATTTGTTAAAATGACTTTTTTTATATGTTAAAAAAAGTCTGAAGAATATAAAAAAAAAATATATATAAAAACCTCATTTTAACATATATTTTTTACATATATTTGTAAATGCAGTCCAAAAATGTAGAATTGTATTTTTAAAGACATACAGTATATTTGAAATTATTTTTAAAAATATTTTTCATATATTTTGTAATAAAAACGCATTTCAACATGCAGTATATATATAAATATATTGAATACGGCCAATTTTGTAGTATATATATGTCAGTATATTTGGGAAGGATATTTTTAAAATATATTTAAAATATAGTTTTCTTCCATGTGGGCTCTCCTGGTCATCCACTAGGATGCCCTCTTTCCTTTCTCTTGATCTCCTCACCGCTCCTGAACTCCACACTGATAAACCAGCTGCAGCCATGAAACCCTCATCCTGATTGGCCCCGTGGGGATTTACTCTCTTCCTCCAGGAAGGCACGTGAGGAATCCTATGGAGTTGTGAAGGAAGTTTAAATATATTTTGAAATATATTGAATATGGCCAAAATTGTAGCATTTCAAATATATGGCAATATATTTGGGAAGGATATTTTTAAAATATATTTCAAATATATTTTTCTTCCATGTGGTGCAGATCGCTGGTGCCATGCAGTTCTCCTGAAGACCTGTCAGTATATCTGCTTGCCCATATGGGATGTACAGGCAAGCAGATATACTGACAAGAAGATTCAATGGAGAAACAGAAAAAGGGTGCACCGACCTAGTGCATTATCGTTTAAAATAATTTATTGAAGAAACAAAAATAGGTATCATACTCACAATGGACATATTAACACAGGCATGTCAAACTGAACAAGATGTATGATTCAAACAACATCTGAGTCCATACGATGGAACCCTGGATGACCAACTGTCTAACGCGTTTCGAGGACACAACCTCTTCCTCAGAGCCATTTGCATCCAGTGTATTTGGACCACCCCGGTCTGTTGAGGGCAGCAAGCAGTGCATATTCCAGAAAATTCCAGAACATTCCTATTGGGTCTACTGAGTCCTTTCCTAGCGCAGGAGTAAAGTGTTTGTTGTGTAAGAAGATTCAATGAACTACCACAGCACTCCACAGCTGTCAGGACTTGTAGCGCGTTCATTCTTGGAACTCTGTGAATGAATGACGTGGCTGTGTGGGCGGAGCCCCACACGGCCGCGCTGTTTTCAAATCTGATGGATATTATGGGGAACGTCTCCCCGTACTTCTGCCATAGGGAGGAGGGAGCAGCGGCTGCAACATTGGGAACATGTTACGTGTTACATGTTACTCTTAAAAATGGGAGGAACATGTAACATGTTCCCAAAGGTGAACTTCTCCTTCTCTTGTATGTTTTCATCTACGTATGTCTCCATTGCAATCTCATGTCTCCACTGACAGTCCTTCTCCTCTCAGTTTCTCTAGCTGTCTATACCTCCTCTGTGACGGTGAATGCTCCTCTGGGTAAGACTCTGACCTTGCCCTGTGGCCTGTGGCGTGGACAGCAGAGTCGCTTTGCCGTGGAGTGGCGCCACCGTGCTTTGGGAGAAGGAGAGGTCCTCTACGCCTATGATGGATGGCGTGACAGGATTGAGGAGGAGCTCCCGGGGTATGTCATGAACTTCTCCAACTTACACTCCAAGGGTGACGCATCACTCATAGTGGAGAAGGTTGAGACTTCACATGAGGGCACCTACCTCTGCATCATCTACGTGCCATACCTGAGGGCACAGAGGGATATCCAGCTCCAGGTCACAGGTAAGACCTGAAAACACATTGATATATATGTGTGATATATGGTTACATAATATACCTTACTTTTATGACGTGCCTGCAGGGCCGTGGATAAAGGAGTACCACCAGTCCTCCTGTACGGGGCCCAAAGCAGCAGAGGGGCCCAGGAAGCTGAGTGAATCGGATGTGGGCAGGGAGGGTAATTGGCATAGGGGGGGCAATTTCTGTACCAGATCCCCTGTATGGCTCTCTCTGCAGCAGATGAAAGCTGGCCTCTTCTCCTCTCCCTCCTGCTAGCTATCAGCTGCTGCAGTGGGAGCCATACAGGGGTTCAGTTCCAGTAATTGCCCCCCCAGTGTCATTTCTTCCCCCGCAGTGCTGGCAGCTTCCCTCTTCCCTTTCCCACCAGCAGCTACAAGCGCACTATATGTCACATTTACCAGCCCCTTTCTTTTCTGAATGAACACAATGAGTGATACAAAAGAGAGCATCGCTTTCATCAGGATCCCGTAAGAAACCTGAGGAACCAGTACTCAAGCTGGTGGTGTCTTCCACTCACACTCAATACAGGAATTCAAAAAGATAAACAGCCAGCAACTCAGTATCATCCAGTTACAAAAGTGTTTATTGGCCACAGGGTAAATAAAACATGAATATGTTTACGCGTTTCGACTACAAGGCTATGGTTAACCACTTTCACTGCTACAGGGCAGCAGGGCTGCGCAAAATCATGTATATATACTTGATTTTCATTTCTGGGTAGGCGACACGTGTGCCACCCTACCCGTGCCACTATTGGCGGTTAGAGATGTCTCACTGGGTCCCAGCCGGCGATTCCTGGCCAGCACTCGGCGATCATCGGGGAACGCTGACAGAGGAGAGACTGGTGTGTAAACGACACAGGTCTCTCTCCTGTGAGCATGGACATGCTGCTTTGTATCTCTGTACAGGGTGTCTCCCTACTAAAAACACACGAGGCACCCAGTAAAACAGCACACAGTTAACCCTTTGATTGCCCCAGATGTTAACCCCTTCCTGCCCAGTGTAATTAGTACAGAGCCAGTGCTTTTTATTAGCCTTATCACGGTATTGGTGTCACTGGGGATGTCAGTGGTAGTTAGTCAGTTCCCCCCCCAGTGTCAGAATGCCACCACAGTCCTGCTATAAGTCACTGATCGCCACCATTACTAGTAAAAAAAAAGATTAAAATAAAAATCCCAGTATATATACCACCATTTGTAAACGCTATAATTTTCGTGTAAACCAATTAATTTACACGTATTGGAATTTTTTTTTAGCAAGGACATGTCGCCGAATACATTTTGACCTAAATTTATGAAGAAATTAGATTTTTAAATTTTTTTTTACTGGACATGTTTTATAGCAAAAAGTCAAAAATATTGAAAAATAGTTTAAAAAAATTCTTTTTTTTAAATGTCGGTCTTTCTTTGTTTATAGCGCAAAAAAATAAAAATTACAGAGGTGATCAAATACCATCTAAAGAAAGCTCTATTTGTGGGAAAAAAGGAAATAAGTTTCATTTATGTACAGTGTTGCATGACCGTGCAATTCCCAGTAAAAGTAAAGTAGCGCTGTATCACAAAAAAAAATCACCTGGTCAGGAAGGGGGGTAAATTCTTTGGAGAGCAAGTGGTAAAGGCCTCACGGTCGAAACGCGTTAGGGCGCTTATCTTGTACTTTCCATGTAGCCAATAAATACTTTTGCAACTGGATGATACAGAGTTATCCATTCAGTAATTCTCTGAATGGCAGCCTTGCCGTGGCATGGGACCCTGAAGATTGCCGTGATCACTGGAGTAGAGGTGACTACTACAGTGATTCTCTGGTGGTCCCACATTTATGCCATTTTGTACACTTGCATTGGTCCAAGCTGGACCAATGTAACTGTGGAATACAAACCATACCTGGAATTCAGCTTTAAAACACAATAAGAGTTATTACAAATTTGAATGACCACCTTTTCTCTATCAGATTGAAGTTGCAAAGACATGAACGGTTTCTATAAACAACTCTGTGTTTATAATTGAGCCCAATAGATCTTGCATTGATTCACATTCTTCATTGTTTCTCCAGCGAAGCCTCAGATCACCCTTCTGCCCTCCCCGCTGTTCGCCCGCCCTGGTGAAGAGGTGACCCTCTTCTGTGAGATCTCCCACTTTCACCCTCTGGAAATCTCGGTGGACTTCTTGGTTCAGCTTCCAGGAGAATCAAGCCCGACTCTAATGCCTGGAACCTCCCTGTCAACTCATGGCCACAACCAAGATGGCACCTACACCATCACCGGCTACCAACGCTTCAACGCTAGCCCTGAGCTCCACGGTGCACGCTATTCCTGCCAAGTCAGCCATGCCAGTTCCACGAAAGTGATGTCCCAAAGTCAGACGCTTCAAATTGCTGGTAAACATAAGATAATATGTACAAAGACTGATATGTCACTGAAGAACTCTGGTCTTCAGAAAACAAATTTATAGTTATCATGGTTGTTCTGTGTAGATCTGTGCATATAACCTCTAACATCTGTGCCCACCTGAGAACCAATCAGGAATTGCCAATAGTGATAATTTAAAATATGTTCCCTTAAATTGTTATAATAATGCATCCTAACATCTCAGAGATGGCTATGTGTGCTGCTAATCACTTATTTTCTCTCCTTGTCAATGCAGAACTATCAGCCTGGTGCCAGGCTGTTAGGCCCCCGATGGAGGCTAAAATATCTCCTGCCTATGCTCATGTTTTATAATTGACACTCTGTCCAGGCTGCTGGAGGAGGGTAGTACAACTGCCAAATACATACCGTATTTTTTGCTCCATAAGACGCACCTAGATTTTAAAGGAGGAAAACAAGAAAAAAAATATTCTGAACTAATGGACTGCAGACATAGTACAGGAAATGACCACAGACTGCGCACACAGTACAGGAGATAAGCAGAGACTGCAGACACAGTACAGGAGATGACAAGAGACTGCGGACACAGTACAGGAGATGACCAGAGACTGCAGACATAGTACAGGAAATGACCAGAGACTGCGGACACAGTACAGGAGATGACCAGATAATGCAGATATACTACAGGAGATGACCAGAGACTGCGGGCATACTACAGGAGATGAGCAGAGACTGCGGGCATACTACAGGAGATGAGCAGAGACTGCGGACACAGTACAGGAGATGACCAGAGACTGCGGACATAGTACAGGAGATGACCAAAGACTGCAGACACAGTACAGGAGATGACCAGAGACTGCAGACATAGTACAGGAGATGACCAGAGACTGCGGACACAGTACAGGAGATGACCAGAGACTGCAGACACAGTACAGGAGATGACCAGAGACTGCGGACACAGTACAGGAGATGACCAGAGACTGCGGACACAGTACAGGAGATGACCAGAGACTACAGACATAGTACAGGAGATGGCCAGAGACTACAGACATAGTACAGGAGATGGCCAGAGACTGCGGACACAGTACAGGAGATGACCAGAGACTGCGGACACAGTACAGGAGATGACCAGAGACTACAGACATAGTACAGGGGGGATGACCAAAGACTGCGGACACAGTACAGGAGATGACCAGAGATTGCGGACACAGTACAGGAGATGACCAGAGACTACAGACATAGTACAGGGGATGACCAGAGACTGCGGACACAGTACAGGAGATGACCGGAGACTACAGACATAGTACAGGAGATATATATAAATACAATGTGAATATGATATCAAATCAAAAAGCCCTTAAACCTACACTAATTCCAAATTGGAAAAAAACTTTCAACCCCTGAAAGCTTAAAATCAAATAAATTAGTCCAAAAGAGAATCTTCCCTCTTTTAACAAATAATCTACCTATATATAAAACAGCAAAACTTTCCCCATATAATTATAGTTCACGTATATAATTATATGGGGAAAGTTTTGCTGTTTTATATATAGGTAGATTATTTGTTAAAAGAGGGAAGATTCTCTTTTGGACTAATTTATTTGATAGTACAGGAGATGACCAGAGACTGCGGACACAGTACAGGAGATGACCAGAGACTGCGGACATAGTACAGGAGATGACCGGAGACTACGGACACAGTACAGGAGATCACCAGAGATTGCGGACACAGTACAGGAGATGACCAGACTGCAGACACAGTACAGGAGATGACCGGAGACTGCGGACATAGTACAGGAGATGACCAGACTGCAGACACAGTACAGGAGATGACCAGAGACTGCGGACATAGTACAGGAGATTATAAGATATCTTCCTGCGCCTAGTGAGACACTCTCTACTACAAGTACTATCCTGCTGCTGTGCAATGTGAACAACACAAATATATGAAAAAATAAAATAACAGCGCAAAACATAGACCTCTACATAAAATCAAAAAAGTGCAAAAAAATTTTTTGTAAAACAAAATACAATTTAAATGGTGCAGTCCATCAAAATTCTTATATAAATAGTGAAATCCATCAAAATAAACTAAAGTTCAAAAATATTCAAAAATATATGTGCAAAAAAAAGAAAAAAAAAAGGAAAGAAATCTTTTCACATTCTTCTTGTAAAGAAACTTCCACCTTCCACCCGTGAAAACCAATATCAAATGCACTCACCAGATATAGGTGAATAAAACGCCTTTTAGGAATTTTATGGGATCCTACACCCTCTTTCGTATCCACTCTATAGGAATCCTCTCCTCCAACATGGGCTCCACCATCCGACCAGGGAGAAAAAAATCTCAAATAGTGTGATATTGTAAGACACCATTTCATATGTGAAATCAAGGATTAAGGCCACTCACATTAATTTCACTTTAAAAAGGCATATTTATTAAGGCAAGCTTCTCTCCAGATGAACAGTAGATGCAAGGTAACCTCTCACAGAATCTCACATCACAGTCCCAGGTTCCAGCAGAAGCTCCACAGAGACCACACATATATAAATAGTACAGGAGATGACCAGACTGCAGACACAGTACAGGAGATGACCGGAGACTGCGGACACAGTACAGGAGATGACCGGAGACTGCGGACATAGTACAGGGGATGACCAGAGACTGCGGACATAGTACAGGAGATGACCAGAGACTGCAGACATAGTACAGGAGTACAGGGCAGGTACCCGAATTTGACAGGTACCCGCTCCCACTTCTTCAGAGTTGTCCTCCTTTCTACCTTCCCGTTGTCTTCTGGGGCACATGACAGGTCCCAGAAGACAACGGGGCCATTCACAAAGCGCAGCGCTTCTTGCGCACGTGCAGTGGGCACCCGGCTGTGAAGCCGCAGGCTGTCATAGCCGGGTGCCCACACTGAAGATGCCGGCGCCAGGAAGAGAAGACTAATGCTAATAGTCTGCTAGCTTTGCTTGCTGCAATAGGGCATTGCATGCTATTGATGAGTATGTGATCTGATAGGAGCCCCAGATATTTTTTCATCCTCGTTTCCCCCAGAGGTTCTCCCCAACGCTCCGTAAGCAGGGCCCTCCTATTCCTTCTGTATTGAACTGTATTGTAATTGTCTCCCTTTATATTGTAAAGCACTGCACAAACTGTTGGGGCTATACAAATCCTGAATAATAATAATGATCATAAATTGACTTCCCCTAATCTTCTAAAATCGCCCCAATTAACCTTTTCCCTCCATTATAATGCAAAAAAGTGGGTCTTAACGCCCAGACGCCACACATGGCAGTCTGAGATTCTGTGCTGACTGAGAGTGCACTCACAGCATACTGAGTTTTCTCTGACAGCTTTTTTTGTGATTGCATACCAGCAGGATGGGCTCCGGATCCTGTGAGAGTCACACTGATAACATGATCAGTTAGTCACTCCGGCATTAAAGCTTGCATAACCTCCTGGCGGTATGATTATTTCCGATTTTTTTGTGCTGAAAGCGGTGCCATTTTTTTGCATGGAAATGTGTAGTTTTTTATTGTAGGCTGTAATTTTTAGGAATAACTCACTGAAATCTGTCCGAACAAGAGTAGTAAACATTCCGGATATGATAAAACTTGAAACACGAAATCATAAATTATAATTTAATAATCATAAAAAAATAATAATATAATAATAATAAATTTAATTCAATAATATAATCAAACCAAAAACACTGAAATTTGAAATACAGAGGCAAATTCACACATCACTGAGCAAAGTCGCAAAATCGTTTTCAGTGTCTGATGACGAATTTCCCCCACGAATCATTATCACTCAATTCTGCAAGTGGTTCTGATTTACTAACGCTGCTCTCTAGCCGGTCTACAACCGCTTTTGACATAAAGGGACGCTTTTTGGACGCCATGGACTTTTCTAAGTTTCCAGGCAGAAAGAACAGTCAAAATGCAGGCAGGGCGCCGGACAAAGCACTCGGGACAAAATATATGTGAAATGCATTGAAACAGCAATGTTTTACTATATAATAATCATTTTTAAAAAAATGACATTTTTTAAAAATTTCAAATTTGCCGCCGGTTCCGGCGCCCGTACGTCCCGACATCACAGGGACCGGAACACGGAAGCCGGATGCCGGCATCGGCTGGAGGAGATGGCCGGGGACGCTGCAGGGGACACATCGTGGGAGTGAAGGACAAGGTAAGTGCTGCAGGGACTCCCTGAGCAACGCCGCATGGTAAGCCCGAGTGTAGCTTGGGGTTACCGCTCTTTGTACTGAAATTTTACCCCGAGCTACACTCGGGAATACCGCCAGGGAGGTTAAAGGTTGACCAGAAGGCAGCGGGAAGGGGTTAACAACAATTCTAGTCTTCTTCTATGTAATCCTGATAGTATCCATGTTTGACAATGTTTTAAGTGTTTGTTTTCAGCACAGGCAGGAGATAGGACACACTAAAATACTGACTTTTAGCCTGACATGCAGACAAGGAGAGAATATAAACAGCCTACAGCCTTTGACTCTCTTTTTTCCTCTCTTTCCAGGTGTGTTGGGACCATCTATTGAGGACGGGATGTACCTCTTCCTGACTGCCCTCTTCTTGTACGGTTTTCTGAGTTACCTCCACAGGAAATGTGAGTAAAAAAATTACAATTTAACGTGGATTATAGGCTTACAATTATTTCTGAAATGTAACGGAACATACTATATATATATATATATATATATATATATATAGTTAAGCATCCCTTGTTTCATAGTGTAGCACCCTCCTACTTAGCTAGGGAGAGCTAGATAATTATGGTTTTAGATACAGGGCCGAGTAGCAGCCTGGGTGATAGTTCGAGGGTGAAATTTGGGTCAGGACTGAGGGGCTCTGCAGATCAGCTCACTGATACCTCCCCCTGATCTAGAGACTTGGAGAAGTCTGTAGAACTCAGTGGGTGGGCTGTGGAGGTAAGGTGGAGCGGGTCTGAACCCTTGAGGGATCCTGGCTTGGCAAAGGGTCAGGACAGCCCTTAAGAGTGGATGGGCCTGCTCAGAGAAAAGAGAGTTTGGGTGGAGGATATGAGGAAGACTGAGATGCAGGAGCCTTAGAGGGGGCCCAGTGGGAAAGGGCCTACCTACAGGCTGGGACCTTGGAAGGAGGATCACTCAGCCTAAACTGACCCCAGAGAGACCTTCCCTGGCACCACCTCCTGTGGTGCCAGGGAAGGAGCCAGCATAGCAAAAGGCTTGGAGTAGTCTCTAGAACTCAGTGGGCAGGGGTTAGGTGGAACAGGTCTGAACTCTGGAGGGATCCTGGCCAATCCCAAGGCAGGAAGCTTGGCACAGGGTCAGGACAGCCCTTAAGAGTGGGTGGTCCTGCTCAGAGGCAGGAGAGTTCGGGTGGAAGATGTGAGGAAGACTGAGATGCAGCAGCCTGGGAAGGGGCCCAGTGGGAAGGGACCTTCCTACAGGCTGGGACCTTGGAAGGAGGATCACTCAGCCTCACTGGCCCCCATAGAGAGGACCGCCTGTGGTGCCAAGGAAGGAGCCAGCCCAGCAAAAGGCCTGAAAGCAGCTACCAACCCAACAGCTCACAGGAAGAGGACTGAGTGAATAATCCTGCACCCCTTGGGCCAAAAAAAAGGGAGAGAGCATTTAGGTGGGAAACCTGACTAGCTCCCTACCTGAGACTGTTACCCATTTTAGTAGCAGACACTGGATCCCCTTGCCCAGGGATTCCTCCAGGACAGCTGGGTAAAGAAAGATCATTTATCTGGGGTCTTGGTTGGTACACCAGGAGAGGCTGGAGAGCTCTCCAAGAAGAGAAGTTCTGTCTTTGGACCTGGATACAGCTTCAGGAAGTTGCCCTCAGTTTGCAGTTCCCTTGGGGATCCCATACACCCCTTACCCCATCCAAATCCAAAACCCCTTAATAAAACATAAAAAAACAAGCTCAAGGACTGTTTACTGTCTTCTGTGTACAAGATCTGAAGGAAATGTGTGTTGCCTGGCTGTGTAGGACCATAGGGGAACCCAAAAACTTAGCAACTCCTAAGGGGGTACTACTATTAGAAAAAGATTAGAAAAAGATAGAACTGTCTCATGAGCATTCTGCTTTGTAATAGTACATACAGACTTACTCCCCTCTTACTCTCTCTCTCTGTTGCAGTTAAACTGTTCTTCAGCGCTGGTCCAGCAGAACCGAATGACAAACAGGTAATACGCTAATAATCAGCTAACACTCAAAGACCAGAATGTGGTCCATAAACTCCACCATTAAGCCGGTAATACGTCATATATTCCAGACATACAATCTCGTCTAGATGTACCAACATCTCTGTAGTGCAAAGGCATTCCTGAACAATCCATTACATTTACATCCCATCAGGCAGGCCCACGCACTACACCATGGTCAGCAAATCTAGGGGAGATCGTGCCATGAGATTGTTATGTGTGGCCACAATTGTACATGCTTGCGCTTTCATATTTTTGTTATTGTAGTAAAAATGGAGATGTGCAAATGAGCCTCTAGTGGGATCTCTGAATTGGACTCAGCTTCAATGCAGGGAGTTCAAAATTTGAATTGAGACCCTTGATTGGGACGTGTTTACATCTTCTGTCCTGAAATCTACTCCCATAGACCTAAATTGGCCCATACTCCTAGGGGTGTATTTATAAAAAAAAAAAAAATGTGCAGAGGTATTCGTCGTGTGAAACTTCCTATGCATTCATATTCTATTTTCTCTCCAGGTTAAATGCTATTCCTGATATAGAAGTGAGTGAATTGGGAGATTACCCCATGATGGTCACTAGATAGTGCTGACAACCATAGTACAGGAGTAATACGATTGCTTATGAAAGTTAACGTAATTTTTTGGTTTACAAATGAAAATCCATTGAAAATAATGGCTCAGTTTACAATTTTTTTTCGCAATACGAACGGATTAATTGGTTTTCAATGCATTTACAATTTTTTTTTAATCTTGTCCCTGTACAGTATTTATGCCTTTAAAGTGTACTTTATAAAGAGTTTTGAACAGATAAAATACTTTTTTTGTACTTTTTTCTGACCTCCAGAACAGATTCATTGGTTTTCAATGCATTTACGAAGTGATTTTTAACCTCTTGGCGCTGGCCTCATGCAAATGTGCGTCCTCCTGGCGTCTGGGCCTTGACACCGAGCGGCTGCACATTTGCGTGCAATTAAGAAAAACATATGTGCTGAGAGCGCGCGCCTTTCGAGTTCCCAGCACACATGTCCGGTACTCACGGAAAGGTCCCGATCTCTTTCGATTGGGACCTTTCCTGATCATGTGACGCCGTGACAGCAAATCATGGCGGTCACATGACCCTAAAACCAACTCCCAGCTTCTGAAACCCTTAAAGGGCTGGGAGGCGCCGGCGCCAAGGGGTTAATCATGTCCCTGTACAGTATTTATGCCTTTAAAGTGCACTTTATAAAGAGTTTTGAACAGATAAAATACTTTTTTTTTACTTTCTTCTGACCTCCGGAATGGATTTATTGGTTTTCAATGCATTCCTATGCATTGTTTCAGTTTCTGAATTTTTTGCAATACGAAAAGTTCCACAGAACACATTAAATTCGTAAACCGAGGTACTCCTGTATACAAGTATATAAGCTCCGTCTAGTGGCCATAATGTGGTATTTTCCTGGTTCACTCGAATCTGTATTAATGAATACAGATTAGAGAGAAAATAGCCTACTAACATTTGATTTTGCCCCATCAGCATAGTCATACCTCTATGGCTAAGCCCAATCTGGGTGAAATGTGTCAGAGGGGTGTTGCCTAGATGCAGGGACTGTAGCTGAAGATCCAATGAGCAGGGGAAACAGTAGGCTTTTAAGCGGAACTTTGTTTTGTATCCCATCCAGCCACCATTGCAGCTTAACCCCTTCATGCCGGCCGCACGCAAATGTGCGGCCTCCCGGTGTCTGGGCCTAGACGCCGAGCGGCCGCACATTTGCGTTCATGTAGCAAAAAACATATGTGCTGAGAGCGCGCGCCCTGCGCGCTCCCAGCACACATGTGAGGTACTCACGGAAAGGTCCCAGTCCGCTCTTTGGATCGGGACCTTTCCCGATCATGTGACCGGCTGTGACGTGACATCACGGCGGCCACATGACACTAAGCCATGCCCCGTCCCGCCCACCTCCCGGCGCAGGAACTCCTATTCACGCCGGAACGATCCGGCGTGAAGGGGTTAAGGAGAGCCAATAAAACCTTGGCTCACTTTTTCCAGCCCCCCTATTCTGGTTTGAATGAAACTGAAAGTTATATTTTTTTGGAGCATAACCTCCATTTCCTGCTGCTTGGCTGGTACCGATCCCATATATTGTCATTAGCCCATTTTTGAAAGTATCAGGTAGATGAAATTTGTGTAGATGATCATTACAAATTGGGGGGCAACAAACATACCAGGCCTCTCTGTCTTTGGAGAAGGAACTCCCTAGTGCCTGTGTAAGGAGCTCTGGAGTGTCAACAATGCACCAAGCCCATACAGATGGGCAAGAAAATTGAAGCCCACCTCTGGACAAAAAAAGTTTTCATATGCAGTTCGGCTGTGCCCGCACCCCATGGGACAACTGTTTGTTTTTGTCTAGGGGATTCACCGTTCTAATTTATATCCACATGAACTTGTTTCTAGGGACATTTTATCTTTATGATTGCATGTTTTTATGTATATTTGATGTTTTCAAATTAATTATTTTGATTTGGTATGTATATTTTACATTAGCAGCAAAGCATTCAGTTTATTTTGTTTATAATGGATGTTCCAGTACGTGATATAGCATCTTCTAAAGCCGTGTGCAGTGTGCATAGGGTATCTGTGCAGCACTGTGGGCTGGAATTAAAGCAAAAGGCGGTCCAACAAAACACTGACATAAGGAAGTGATCCATTTTCCATCTCAGTGATTCTGTTTTTGAATATTTTTTTTTTTCTGATATGTGGTTGGTGTTATCTGTTTCACGTGGATGTTATAAGTTGCACTGAGTAAGTACAGCTGGATAAAACAAAAACTGGGTCTGTCTTCATTTCAGGCTGCAAAGCAACAAAATGTGATTATTTTAAAGGGGGTGATTATTTTTTATGCCCACTGTAATTACATAATTGGTAAGGTTGAATAAAGACACTGGTCCATTCAGTTTCAATGTGTGTGTGTGTGTGTGCGCGCGTGCGTGTGTGTGTGTCATAACAATATGTAAAGGGTTAAATGACCGAAAAATGTGATTCACCTTGGTTCCTGTTTGTTTTTATTTCAGAAAAACCATAAAAGAGAGTAAAAGATCGGTCAGACGCTGAAGAACGGACCCAAACACTGTGTGTATGTATGTATGTTTGTGTGTGTGCAATACAGGGACGTACTGATAAACTGTCAGAGGTACAACATTAAAATGGGACAGATTACAACATATTTTACTAGTGTGACAAATAAACAATGATTCACAATGCATCCTGTGGAATGTGTTTCAGAAATAAGAAAAAAAACGTATCTGTGTCATTTTACAGAAATGTCGCAATTTGTGCAACATTGGAAGAGATTATCTATATTTTGGGTGCACAGAATAGACACAACCAGTAGGGGGCGCAGGACTCTTTATAAACTATGGTCACTGTGACTTAAAAGATCATTTGTTACAATTTGCAACTTTTTTGTGACTGTTTTGCACATAATGGCCCCACCGAGCCTAGAGAGAGTGTGCCACACAGAGGGCCCGATACATTTGTGGTGGTGCAGCGTGGAAAATTGCAACAGGGAAAATATGTGCAAAATTGTCACAACAAATGTTGCAAATTGTGACAAATGATATATGGTGTTGCAGTGACCATAGTTTCCCTCCGCCACCTACTACATGGCACATGAATGCACTTATTCTATGGGCCCAAAATATACACAGCCTCTTCAATATGATGCACAAACTGGAACATTTTTGTGACATGGGGAATAAGGATTTCAATATTTCTGGTGCACTTGTCACATTCAACAGGAATATGCATTGCGAATCATTATTTGTCAAACTAGTAAAAAAAAAAATTGCAAAAAAAAAAAAATCGCAGTTTGCACAATTTTAATATCGCACTGCTGATAGTTTATTGGGCCCAAAGTGTGTATGTCTGTGTGATAGTCTAGTTTCTTTAACGGTGTCCCAAAGCTACCTGTTGTGGTTGCTATGGGCAGCCCGTAAAATTTAATTTGCTCTCCATGTAGGAATCCATTTGTGTAACACTGATAATGCTCACCCTGCGTGGTGTAGTCCTTTCTGGTGTCACTCCTGTGCTGGGCTGTACTGATAAGATATTGAAGGAAATAGCAGCAGTACTACTCATGACCAGCAGGTGGTGACACAGATGGGTTTCTGGTAAAGGAAACCCAGCATGGAAGCAGCCATTGCTGGCCTCTACCTTTGGAAATGCTGATTGGCTGATGGTCAAATGGACCCCAGGCTTCAATACTTTTTGGGAGATTTACTAAAACTGGAGTACTCAGAATCTGGTGCAGCTGTGCATGGTAGCCAATCATCTTCTAACTTCAACTTGTTCAGTTATGCTTTGACCATAAGGCTAGGTTCACATATGTGCGGGTGGTGCGGCTGCGGATCTGCACGAAAATCCGTGCAGCCGCACCACCAGAACAGAGGAATGGGGACCCGCAGGCGGGGTGCCATTAGTTCTAATGGCACGTCGCCCACACTGCAAATCGCAATCGTACTGGGAACTGAGGTTCCAGTGCAGGCTGCGTTTTCAAAAGAAGTGCTGGGACTTCTTCCCTGCTTGTCATGGAGCACAGGAGTCCATTCAAATGAATGGGCTGTCGTATCCGCACAAAACGCAGCCCGCACGGCCGCATATATGTGAACCAGGGGTCAAACCTGGAAGCTGATTGGTTTCTTTGCAGAACTGTACCAGATTTTGCACTCTCCAGTTTTGGTAACTAACCCCCTTTAACTCACCGACCCGGATCAGGGCTTTCTGACTTCTCTTCCACTCTACTATTCGTTCAGCGACTCAGAAACCATTGAGGCCTAGGGGGTCGGTACAACAGCCAGGCAACTAGCCTTTTCAGAGAAGGGTCAGCAGTAGATAAACGAAATGTAATGTGAATTCAAACACATCAACAGAGTTTCTGTTCTTTGTGAAATTTATCGTAACCTTGAAAATGGAACAATCCAATCAACCACAGGTAATGGAGATATACAAAGGCAGATATTTGAAGTCCAACCTGGGTGGCCATGGACAGGAACTGTAATTACAGGATCACCAAGGGGAAAAAAAGCCTAAAAAAAAAAAAAAAAGGATCTTCGTAAGTTTTTTTTTTTTTTGGTTTAGCTATGCTTTAAAGGACAATTCCATCTTTACTACCATGTTTCATATAACGTCCATATTTAGGGTGCAAGGTGGAACATGGTGCCATTCTGCAGCCCTATACCCTCAAATTCCCCCCACTTTTACCTGAATTTTTCTCCCTGCAGCATTCTGTATATTTTTAAACTCCGGCTCCACCCGCACAACCGTGTAATCCATTTACAGGATATGTGAATGGAAAAACTACAGGTTCCATCTGCCTGTGGAAATGGGATTCACAGTCCTCAATGGATCAATTGTAGTGCTATCACTAAATATATAGAAAGTGCAGTTCTAAAATAAGTGAATGATATTATAGTGAAAATAAAGTGCAAAGTCAATCTGACCTATAGCAAAAAAAAAATAAATAAATAAATGATCAGTGGAACAGTCAAGTGCAGCATATAAAAATCAAATATAAAAAATGTTCAATAAATCATTCAATAAATGCTTTGCACCCACTGGGCCCAGTAACACCAATGATGGGGCACAATTCCTCCCAATGACACAAACGATGGGGCACAATTCCTCTCACTGGCACCAATGATGGGGCACAATTCCTCTTACTGGCACCAATGATGGGCCACAATTCCTCTCACTGGCACCAATGATGGGGCACAATTCCTCTCACTGGCACCAATGATGGGGCACAATTCCTCCAACTGATACCAATGATGGGACACTAGTCCTCCCACTGACACCAATGATGGGGCACTATTCCTCCCACTGATACCAATGATGGGGCACAATTCCTCTCACTGGCACCAATGATGGGGCATAATTCCTCTCACTGGCACCAATGATGGGGCACAATTCCTCTCACTGGCACCAATGATGGGGCACAATTCCTCTCACTGGCACCAATGATGGGGCACTATTCCTCTCTCACTGGCACCAATGATGGGGCACTATTCCTCTCACTGCACCAATGATGGGGCACTTTCCTCCCAATGACACCAACAATGGGGCACTATTCCTCTCACTGGTACCAAAGATGGGGCATTGTTTGCTCCCACTGATGCTGGGACATTTGATGCTCCCAATGTCCACTGTTCAGCCCCTGTAAAGTCTGAAGGACAGTAAACTGGCCCTTTGTATAGAAAGTTTGGAGACCCCTGGTCTATGTCATCAACAAGATTTTTGCAATTTTTCCTGATTAGGAATAATCTGTTTAGTTAAAATGAATAGGATTTCCTTGTGCCTTGCCCTGCAGTATTAAAAGGAATTTGCCAAGAAACAGAAACATGTGTGAGAAGCCTTAGATAGAAGCGGCCTCTACCTGTTAGCCAGTTACAGGGTACTGATGTTACTATTGGCACAGCCTTGGGACTTCTACATGGCCTAGGTGTAGGGGAGCTTCAATCAAATGCTTGTTTTCCTCAAGACATATCTCCTTTTAAATTGCCAGAGTCAGGCTCTGAACTGCTGTGTGACTGTACAGTTACGGTAAATAAGCGGCACGTGATTTTCTATGTCGCACATGCATCCAGTGAGAGTAGGTTGGAGTGTGGTCATCATGGCAGGAGGACCACGTGGTGGGTGATTGATCATCACATTAGCGGAGATCAGCCTGTCCAGCTGTGGAGGAGATCTATGGTGTTCTAAGAACACATCAACACTTTTCTATTGGTAAGGGAAGACACAAGAGAGCGCACTCTCCTTACCACAATACAGATGTACAAAAAATTTGGTAACAAATGCATACTCACAAGCAGACCATGAAACATTCAGGCTAGACATTTAGGCTTTAGTATGATTAGTTTAGATATAAGTCCATATTTGTTTTAGGGGTGTCAGTATTGACTGTGACCATTAGTGGTATTGGGGTGTTCTGCTTGGCTTTTGGTTGGGCACTTCAGCATATTGACATCCCTGGTTGTTGTCTAGTCCCTACCATGTCCATTTGCATGACACCATGGGACCCTATGTGGACATGTCCTTGTGTAAGGGCAGATGACCCCCATGGGGGATCCTGTCCCATCAGATAGGCCTGGTCCTTTCCTTGCCTGTTCTTCTCCCCCCTCTTTTGGTCCATCGGGCATGTCAGTGCAAGCATGTCCTACATGTATTGTCTCTAGTGGTTGTTGGCTCCTTCTCCTGCATATTTAGTAAGGCTGGCCATACACTATACAATTTTCTGTTCAATTTCTGCCCAATTTCCTTTAGATTTACCTTCAACTATGTAGTGCAAGGGCCCGCTTAATTGGATTCAGTTAAGAGTGTTGTTTAGGTTTGACCTCATATTATATGGGTTTTGGTAAATCTAAAGCAATTTTCTAAAGAAAATTGTATAATGTATGGCCAGTCTTAGTATGCACATGTGATCTGTATATACTTTTAATTTTGATGTTATTACAGATAGTATTGTTTTTGTTTAGTTTTTTTCCTACTTTAGATCAGCATCATTCTTTATTACCCCTGCCTTCTTTGTGCATCCACATTCCCATTTTTATATATATATATATATATGTTTTTTTAAATGTTTTTATAGTGTTGAAATGAGTTACATGCAAATTTTGTGCGTTTTTTATTATTGTCATTTTTATTATATGTATTTCCCCTGGGTGTTGTGCAAATGCTGCATATTTGGTCAAATTTTGTGTGGTTTCTCTCCACCTCTTCCACCATTTTTTCTGCCCTTTGCATCCCAGCCATCCCCCTCTGTCAGGTTAATAGGTGTTACTTTTGCCCGTTTTTTGTCGGCGCACTTCCGCCCCTGTCAGCGCGATTGCATTGACACACTTCTGGTGTGCCGCTAACAGATTATTTCCCTCGGGCGGGCGTGACAGGGTGAGTGCGCCTCTGCCAGACATGAGGGGTGCGCATGCGCATGGCGCATTTCTGGTGGTTATGGATCTTTGGCTTGCGATTTGTGCCGTGCCATGTGGCTGGAGGTGTCAACCGTCTCTCCAGTCCATCCCGCACATTTTTATATACCCGTAAGTTGGCCACCATCATAATTTAAGATATTTTTATATATTTACATTGATATTTCCTTTTGCCACTAATTTTTTATGTATCCATGCGAATGGCAATAGAGATTGCATTTTGTTTGCAGCATGCCAAAAGTCTATTGGCCCTTTATAGAGTGTGCGATCTAGAGTTTCTGTTTAGGCATTCCATCAGCTGTGGGGCGCATACATCGGGTGGCCCTTGGTGGGTCCCGCCCTTGGTGGGCCCCACCCTTGTCATTTCCATTCAGAGGGGGTGTGGTGATAGTCTACACATGTTATTTACCCTATATATGGGGTATTGGCACCTCCGGTTGTCTTGGCTCTGAGGAAGGGAGTACGTCTCCTGAAATGCGTCAGCTATTTCCAACCGGGCATTTGTTGGGACAGGACCCCAGTGTCTGGGACTGAAAGATTTGGCTCAATGTCTGTTTTTATGGTCTGCTTGTGATTATTCATCTGTTAACAATTTGAATATATAAATTTGTATCACGGTAATGCACGAGGAGAGTGCGCCCCCCTTGTGTTTTCTCTTCACAGTACTTAGATTTCTTGATCTTTAGAGGACTGCACCTCATCCAATGACAGATACAGTGTAACACTGAGGAGCACGAAGATTAGAGCGCTGTTGTTGTTCATTTTACTTCATTGACTTTTCTATTGATACCTAATCAACAATCAACACTCGGGTGCCTAGGAAATACATTGTTTTAGCTTTTATGCATTTGTTTGGCTGCAAGCAGAATTATTTTATATTGTTTCGTAACTTGTTGATTTATCCTTTTATTTAATTAGAGACATAAGATGATCCATGATTGTTAAATGGCATAAAAAAAATGTTTTTTCTTCTGTGCATTGGATTGCTCAATAAAATTGGGATGAGATTCTTCTATAGGTGTCTTTGTGTTATTTAATGGGAGAATTATCAGTCGCTGAGCTGGGTGAATGAAATATGAGGCAGGTGTCTGCACTCGGTGTCAGTGGGCTTTAACCACTTCCAGTCCAGACACTTTTACCCCCTTCCTGTCCAGGCCAATTTTCAGCTTTCAGTGCTCACACCTTGAATGACAACTGCGCGGTCATGCAACACTGTACCCTTATGAATTTTTTAGCATTTTTTTGAGACAGATAAAGCTTTATTTTGGTGATATTTATTCACCCCTGGGATTTTAATTTTTTTTGCTATGTAAATTAAAAAGTCCAAAAATTTTGAAAAAAAGTGTTTTTCTTATAAACTTTTGCAAATAAATAGTATTTCATCATAAATCTTGGCCAAAGTTTATTCCGTTATATTTTTAGTAAAAAACAAATAACCCAAATTAGTTTATGGTGACCATGGTGACACTGTACTACTTGTGGGGGGTGATGAAGTTTTTTTTTTTTTTTTTTTTTAACACTGATTGCTTTTACACCCATAAAGAATGTAAAAGCAATAAATACTGTATAATAATAATTTCTCTTTCTCTCTAGCTGCATTCTTGCAGCCATTGAGAACTACTGAGTGAGCTGTGATTGGTCACAGCTTGTCGCATGGTACGAGGCTGTTGTGAATAGCCCTGTACCATGTGACCTCTGTGATCATTCACAGATTTCACACGTAGTAAGCAATGATGTCACAAGTGACATCTTGCTTACTACTTTGCATGTGATCACTGATTGGCCAGTCAGTGATCACATGATCGGGACCTCGTACAGAGGTCCCGTCCGACGATTGGTGTTCCACTGTGTCCGGGGGACACAGCGGGCACTGGATCGCAGTGCTGCACGCTCCCAGGGAGCGCGCACAAGCAGGGTGCGGGGAGGCCGTTTATAAACGACCACCCGACCCTGCACTGCCACCGTCCAGACGTTTATATACAACGCCCAGACAGGAGGTGGTTAAAGTGTAAGCTCACCTTTATAGAAATAGTGAACGAACACCCGACATCCTAGGCATCGTTGTTACTATGGTGAAGGTCTTTTTGGCTTTCTACAATTGTGCAAAATGTATATCTGAACTACAGAGCTGCAATTTGTACTGAATTTATTTGCCTTTTGTGTGTTTGCAACAATAACATTGTTATAATATATATATATATCTCACAATTATCTTTTTGTTTATAGTCCCAGTCTGTAGAGGGAATACTCTGTGTGTACAATTGAAGGGATGATGCCAATGCCTATCATACTGCCTGTATAGACTTCTCTTTTAAGTCATTGTGTCAGCTTCCTTTGCTCCTCTCTCCTAGCAGTAAGGCTGTCCATACGCTATACAATTTTCTGCCCAATTTCCTTTAGATTTACCTTCAACTATGTAGTGCAAGGGCCTGACTAATTGGATACAATTGAAAGTGTTGTTTATGTTTGACCTCATATTATATGGTTTTTGGTAAATCTAAAGCAAAATTCTCAAAACAATTGTGTAATGTATGGTGAGCCTAACTCAGCAGCTCTGCACACTCTGCTCCCCCTCCCAGCAGTGATTCAAGCAGCTTTGCTCCTCTCTGCCAGCAGTGACTAAGGAGCTATTTTCCCCCTCCCAGCAGTGGCTAAAGCAGTTCAGCTCCCCTTCCGAGCAGTGACTCAAGCAGCTATACTCTCTCCCAGCAGTAACTCAGCAGCTCTGTTCCCCCTCCCAACAGTGACTCAAAAAGCTCTACTCCTCTCTCCCAGTAGTGACTCAGCAGCTCTGCTCCCCCTCCCAACAGTGACTCAAAAAGCTCTACTCCTCTCTCCCAGTAGTGACTCAGCAGCTCTGCTCCCCCTCCCAGCAGTGACTCAAGCAGCTCTACTCACCCTCCCAACAGTGACTCAAGCAGCTCTGCTCCTCTCTGCCAACAGTGACTCAGCAGCTCTGCTCTCCCTCCCAACAGTGACTCAAGAAGCTCTACTCCTCTCTTCCAGTAGTGACTCAGCAGCTCTGCTCCCCCTCCCAGCAGTGATTCAAGCAGCTCTGCTCCCCCTTCTTAGCAGTGATTCAAGCAGCTCTGCTCCTTTCTGCCAGCAGTGACTCAAGTAGTTCTGCTCCCCCTCCCAGCAGTGACTCAAACAGCTCTACTCCTCTCTTCCAGAAGTGACTCAGCAGCTCTACTCCCCCTCCCAGCAGTGATTTAAGCAGCTCTGCTCCTTTCTGCCAGCAGTGACTCAGCAGCTCTGCTCCCCCTCCCAGCAGTGACTCAAGCAGCTCTTCTCCTCTCTGCCAGCAGTTACTCAGCAGCTCTGCTCCCCCTCCCAGCAGTGACTCAGCAGCTCTGCTCCCCCTCCCAGCAGTGACTCAAGGAGCTCTTCTCTCTGCCAGCAGTGACTCAGCAGCTCTCCTCCTGGCTCTTAGTAGTGATTTAGCAGCCATCCCCTCTACCATCCCAGCATCGATTTATTTACTGGCAGGAACACTGGGATTGTGAGCTGACCTGCTTAGAGAAAGACTTAAAGGATTTTAGCGCTGCTCATGTGAAATTTGAGGATGAATTACTCTAATGTACCTGCAACTACAGAGGTCAGGGAGTAGGCGTTCTAAAGCTTATTGAACTACATATTAGGAATGTGTACTGTAAATACTCATATACCCAGAGCCTGGTCAAAGCTACACTCTAAAATACACAGGAACCGGAGGCAATAGGAAATCCTCCAGAAAGGACTGCTGTTTTGGTGACAACTGCCTGGGGACATCCTCCCCCCCCTCCCCCACTCTAGAGAGAACTCCTCTCACTTCCTCTTATGTCTCCAGGACAGGGAGTAAAGTAAAATCTCTTCAATGTGAGGACAGCAAAAAACAAAACAAAAACTGAACAATGTTTTAACCCTTCCTTTATCCAATACTGAGAGAAAAATGTTTGGCTTTAAAAACATTTCTAAGTGTTGGTGTTCTACCAAACGTTCATGTCATTTTTCTGTCTTGTATTGAACATCAGGTTATTATTGTTTTGTAGTATGCTGACATCTAGTGGTGGGTTTGGGCTACTACAACTGGTTTACCTTCCTCTGTCCTCCCTTTCTGTTTAGTGCTAGTTAGACCCTTGCCACTTCATCCATATTTCCACAGTCAGTGTTAGTAGTTTTCAGAGACAGGGTTCAGGAAAGTCCTCTTACACTTCTAAAGACTGGAAAAAACATCCTCTGTATTGCAGTTAAATGAAGTAAAATTGCGATGGATTCAACATTTTCGAAGATTTATGCTGCCTGTGAATGATGTCAAGTCAGCAGGTTACCATACTACGTCTAAGTAGTCTAAGGAGGTACATCAATGCATAAAGTGGCATTTGAAACAGAACATTGGTGTGATGGACCGCCTGGCACCCCGCTTGGGTCTTCCATCAGAGAACTGCTTCCTCACCGCTGGGACACAGGACCAAGGTACTACAGTTGGGCATTGCACTACAGACTAGGCGACACTAGCTTAGGTGCAAAACCGGAACAGAAATACAGGTTTTTTATACACTTCAGAAATAGGGGCAGTCCCCACATGAACAAGAAAAACAATTATTACATATTGGGATAAACATGCCACACTGATTAGGTAAGAGCTTGATCACATTATCCTAAAGAATGCAAACGGTAAACAGTATAGCTAACAGTGATCAAATTAACTTCAAGCTAATCAACAGCCAAGCACCAAGACAAGCCAAGGAGCCCACCCCTGACAGCCCGCCACCTCCAACCCTGAATACACTAAGTGCATTTCACATGCTGTCTTTCAGGTGTTTTTTTTTCACTTGTATAATCTGTCCATTGTAAGACAAAACTCATACAATATTCCAACAGTCTGAAAAAGTGGAATTCATCTATCTTCATAGATTTCTTGTGGGAGATTGTTGATAGATGATTCTGTCCCAAGTGGGGGAGGTTCTTCAACCCGGTCTGCAGGAAGGCCCCATATTTCCTGACCATTACCCTGTATAAGGATATTACACCTCTCCATCCACTGTACAAGGGAAGCTGTATTGTCTTTACTCGGAGAATTATTATTATTATACAGGATTTATATAGCACCAACAGTTTGCTCAGCGCTTTACAATATAATGGGAGACAATACAGCAACAATACAGTTCAATACAAGAGGGATAGGAGGGCCTGATCCTTGGAGCTTACAATCTAGGAGGGAGGGGCTAGTGGCACAAAAGGTAATAACTGTGGGGGATGGACTGGTAGGAGGAATAGAAAATTCCATTATCAGCTGAAGGCAGGATAGGCTTCCCTGAAGAGAGAGGTTTCCAGAGATCGCTTAAAAGTGAGCAGAGTAGGCGATAGTCGGATAGATTGGGGTAGAGAGTTCCAGAGGATGGAGGCGGCTCTGGAGAAGTCCTGGAGACTAGCATCGGAGGAGGAGACAAAGGAGCTAGACAGCAGGAGGCCGTGGGAGGAGTGGAGAGGACGATTTGCGTGATATTTGGAGACAAGATTGGTGATGTAATTTGGGGCAGAGTTATAAATGGCTTTATATGTTATTATTGTTTTGAATTTTATTTGTTTGGCAATGGGAAGCCAGTGGGGGTGGAGGACACTGAGTGGAGGCCAGTGGAGGGATTGGCAGAGAGGGGTGGGGGACACTGAGTGGAGGCCAGTGGAGGGATTGGCAGAGAGGGATGGAGGACACTGAGTGGAGGCCAGTGGAGGGATTGGCAGAGAGGGGTGGAAGACACTGAGTGGAGGCCAGTGGAGGGATTGGCAGAGAGGGGTGGAAGAGGCCACTGAGTGGAGGCCAGTGGAGGGATTGGCAGAGAGGGGTGGAGGACACTGAGTGGAGGCCAGTGGAGGGATTGGCAGAGAGGGATGGAGGACACTGAGTGGAGGCCAGTGGAGGGATTGGCAGAGAGGGGTGGAGGACACTGAGTGGAGGCCAGTGAAGGGATTGGCAGAGAGGGGTGGAGGACACTGAGTGGAGGCCAGTGGAGGGATTGGCAGAGAGGGGTGGAGGACACTGAGTGGAGGGATTGGCACAGAGGGGTGGAGGACACTGAGTGGAAGGATTGGCAGAGAGGGGTGGAGGACACTGAGTGGAGGCCAGTGCAGGGGTTGGCAGAGAGGGGTGGCAGATACAGAACGGTTAGTAAGGTGGATGAGTCTGGCAGCAGGATTCATGACCGACTGAAGAGGGGATAGCCTGCGATGAGGTTTGCCAATGAGGAGGGAGTTACAATAGTCAAGGCGAGAGATAACCAGGGAGTGAATAAGTTGCTTAGTGGTTTCCGAATTACTCCCAGCATCGCTCTCAGCGTTCATCACGTTGTTGTCCATCAGAGAATGATCTGCTCTCTCCATGGACCATGATCAGTGGGTAGAAGGCTAGCCCCTAGTCCCCTTCCAAAGCCCCTGTCCTGGTTGGGTCTGTCACTATCGGGTCAAGCCAAAACCTTTTTTCTAGTTTTAAATGGGTTTCTTTTCTTCGGGGCTCATTTTTCGAGGAATTCGTCTAATGTCCTCCATTGCTAGGATGCGGGCAGCTTCTAAAGGGAAGCCTACCTAGCTTTCATCTGTTGCCAGGATGCAGGCGGCTCTTCTACTCCAATAGAGCACATTTGCACAGTTCGTGGTTTGCAGGTAAACGGTTATCACAAACATACAGTATAAAATATAGTTCATATGCAGCACCTTACAGGCAGATTTTTCTCGTTTCAGATTTTTAATTTTTTTTTACAGATCTGAGCATGGGCTCATAGAAAACAATACACCTGTGTTCTCATCTGTAAAAAAAAAAAAAAAAAAAAGTACTGATAAAACACTGGTTTTTCATGGCCATGCGCATCAGCCTGTGTAGTAGGTACGCCTAGTGATCTTACGTGACAGAAGCATGGCAGCAGCATTGGGGTGAACTGAGGGCAATAGCTTGGTGTTCTTGTTTTATATAATAGTAAACATGGAAAAAAGTACAAAGTACATCACATAGAAAAAACATTCTTATGCTGGTTGCCTGCAGATCAGGGCATTGCTGGATCCTCTCATGAGTGGACAGCGTTTGCCTCACAATGCAGAGGGACGCCTACAGAGGAAGAATGCGTTGTGCTCCATGGAGGTAATATAACTGGATATAACATTTATAGGTAAAGTTGATCCAGGGAATATCCGATTGCCTCTCGGGGGGATCAGGAAGGAATTTTTTGCAGGGCAAATTGGATCATGCTTTGCTGGGGTTTATGCCTTCCTCTGGATCAACTGTGGGTGTAGGATTATTATTATTTTTTTTTTAATGGTTGAACTGGATGGACTTTTGTCTTTTTTCAGCCAGACTAACTATGTAACTATATATCAGCAACTACATTCACAGAGAAAGGTAAACAGATGATGCCTCGACATGCTCCAGGAAATTCCCCATACAGTCATCTGAGAAGAAAGGCTGAG